TCGCCCCCATGCGTAACGACCGACGACTGTAAGCCCCAAAGCCTACATGGTCGCCATGGCCAGAAAATTATTGGGCCGGCTGCTTCGCGGCCCTCGGCGGTCACAAACAAAGCATGCTCCTCCAGCAAACCGCTTGACACTCGTCACTTTAAAATTTATCGCAACAACTCGCTACCACAGAATTGCAAAGTTCTATCTGACACTTTGGCCGTTTTGAGTTACTACCAAGAGGTCAGAAACCAAATTGTTCTATCTACTCTCTATCTATTCTATAACAATCGTAAGTTTATTCGGAGTTGTTATCACGATATTCAAAGCATTGCATTCGAAAAAGCTTGACATGATGTGAAACTCAAAAATCTTTGATGTCAAATTTCTCAAAACTGGGTTCAGAGCCGATAGAACTTTGTTATAATTCTGAGGTAGCAAATTTATAGCAACAGCTCTAGATGTGCATTATATCCCGTTCTTCAAGCCTCTGACAACAACTATTGAGGACTCCTTTTGTAGTAACCACCATCAGTTAGAGGTCCTGGTGACTACCATATATTTGATCTCCGTTTATCACAGCCAAGCGATAAAAGGAAGAGCGTGCTGACATCGATAGAGTGTTTTTCGCGTTTGCGGAAAGATATCAACACAATAAAGGTTAAAGGGTGCTTAGGAAATCAAATTTGGGAAACAGCCTCGCTGCTGCTGATAGGAAATAGAAACAACTTAAGATAAAATGATAGGGCAAGGCACAACGCCAAAAGAAATGTTCAGGCTTGACATAGATAGAGAACAAAGTAGGACACATCCCTGAGGACAAGAACAACATGCATGCATTGTACGGCACTCGTTGTTCATCACTTGCTTTTGTTTGTGGGTTTTTACTGTTACTGTTTTGTTCGTTTTTCTATGTTTACTAGTTTGTTGTTGTTTTTGTTGTTATGTTGTTTTTTGTTTGTTTGTTTGTTTGTTTGTTTGTTTGTTGTTGTTGTTGTTGTTGTTTGTTGTTGGTTTTGGTTTGTTTTGGGTTTTTTTGCTTGCTTGCGTGTTTGATTATCTTCTTTGTTTGCTTATTTTTCGTTTGTTTGTTGTTGTTTTTTTGGCGATATTTTTCTAATCTCATAATCTTATTTTAGCTAACAGAGTCAATAACAATACCTTATCTTATGTTGTATATTACGATCCACCTCTTTTTTAGCTTGCTAATTTGGTATAGACCTAGTTCCCTATTCTATTACTGTCTTTTACCAAGTACGAAAGTTCCACTTGTGGACTCATCTAAAGTTCAGGATGAGGGTCTAACAGTTCTATCAGGTGAGCCACTAGCAGTCCGGTCTAGAAAGTATATGGCACTGTATAGCCCATATATTGATCTGTACGCCCTGGGGTCATTTTGTACCCCCGGGGATGTACTCTTCATATTTTAGACTACATACTTCTAGTACAAAGATCTCTTTGAAACTCTCGATATTTCTATTTTTTTTAAAATCATTTTGACAGACTGCTATGCAAAGCGTACGAATCGGATTAACGAGTAAATTTCCTCTTTGGAAAGTGGTGGCACAGAGTTCCCCTCGTCGTATGGATACGATAGTAAAACATGACGTAAGGATAGGGACGGCATTGTATAGCCCACACATTGGCAAGTCAAGAAAGTATGGCACTGTGTAGCCCACATATTGGTTAGTTTAGAAAGTAAGGCATTGAAAATCAGTGAAGAACCTTCAAAATTCACCAGACAATGATGGCATTAGTCCCGTTGGGGATTCAAAATAAGGTCTTCCGTGCCGCAATTTACCGTATTGCCCGTTTAATTTATGTGACGAACTTTTAGAAAGCGACAGCGGACAAGACACACAATAATAATATTATTATCGTACTTCGTGTCCGAAGAGAAAGCGCTTACTCTCGGAACACCGTCATATCTCGAGCGGTCTCATTTCGGCAACGGTCTTCTGTACCAATAATTTGACGGGCTGTGTGCTGTGTTGATTAGAGAGAGGAATGTTGTGTGTGACCGATTCCCAGGCCGGCTACGCTTCGTTTACTTAAAAGCCACGGGGTCACTCTGTTTTCCTATGGTG